CGGTCGCTCGCCATGTCTACGAGGAAGCCGGTCGAAGGCGGAAGCGCGAAGCTGGCCGGTTCCCCGGAGGCGGAGGAGCCCGAGGAGTGCGCGCCCGGCCGGGGTTTGCCGCCGCCGCCGACGTCGCCGCTGCTGCCTTGGGACCGCTTCTCGGCCTGGTTGCACTGCGTGTGCGTGGTGGGCTTCGACCTGGAGCTGGGGCAGGCTGTGGAGGTGAGCGGGAGGTCCCCCGAGGGCCAGGTCGGGCAGCCCGCCCGGGGGAGCCCCTCCGAGGGCCCGGCGGGATGTCCTCCGGCGCCACCGCTCCCGCTTCGCAGCGGGGCAGGAAAGTCAGTGAGGTTGAGGAGGGGGAGCTCTGCTTTCTGCTCTCTCTCTCTCCACACAAGGCAGCCGCTTCCCCTAACTTTTGGGGCCCGCGGGGCCTGGGATGGAGCCGAGAGACCTTCGGGGCATCCGCCTGGGCGAGTGGACGGAGCCGGCTTGGTCCCTTGGTCCCCTGTGTGGGTTTCTCGCCCAGGGTGCTTGCTCTTGGATGCAAGGGGGCGCCGCCAAGCTATCGGTCGGCCTGGCAGGACCTGGATGACAGCCGCACATACTGTATCTGCTCTCGGCGGTGAGGGGGGCTTCGCTTCCTCCCTTTGTTTCCCTCCGTGGGAAGACAAGCAGGGCAGACCCAGGGGACGCCGCCTTTCCGAATCCGCAGCCCGTGGCGGGAAGGAGGAGGAGGAGGAGGCTCCGCCGGGGCCCTTGCTCGCTTGCTTGCTTGCTTGTTCAGCTGCCGTTTGCAAAGGCGCGGCGGTTCCGAGGAGAGAAGTCGCCTCGTTTCGAAAACGGAAAAGGCGGTGATTAGCAGTGAGGGCCACTTACTTCATCGAGAAATTGATAGTAAAAACAAACAAAAACGGTCTTGTAAGAAAAGGTCCTAAAAATTGCCTGAGAAGACACTGCTCCACCTGGTCCTCTCACCCACATTATCTTTCACTTTGACGTTTTCAGATTGATGGTTGAAATCCTGTTGCTTAGGGTAGTGTCTCCTTAGAGTAGGGCTGGTTGAACTCCTGGGGCTTTGGCAAGCCAACTCCTCCATAAATTTCATTGATTCAAATGAGCCGACTCTGGTTGTAGCATGCTTTAGCATACTGTACTGTACTGCACTAAGCAAGAAGATTCCGGCCAATGAATTGTAACATAAACTTATTAATATATTCGTGAAGGCTTTCACAGCCGGGATCTAATGGTTGTTGTGGGTTTTTCGGGCTCTTTGGCCGTGTTCTGAAGGTTGTTCTTCCTGACCTTTCGCCAGTCTCTGTGGCCGGCATCTTCAGAGGACAGCAACCTGTGCTCTGGTGTAGTTGGCTTGGGAGTGCAGTATTTATGGCTGTGAGATAAGCTTTTGTCTTTTTCTGTAGATGGGTGATTAGTGTGTATTGTTGTGGGGGTATTGTTGTGCTAAGGGGAAGAGATTATCTGTTCCTGTGGTTGATGGGTGTCATTAGCTGGTCTTTTGTGTGTAGTGATCCCCTAGTTGCAGATTCGAGCATTATTTTTAAAGGGAAGGTCAGATACAATTTAATACATAAGTAGTTAATCCTAAATTTAATTATCCTGCTCTGTCTAAATATATAGAACAGAGCTGAGAATGTATTCTGATAATTTAGGGATCATGACTGTGTATTAACCATGCTTCTCATTCTTCCTGTAAGGTGCTCAATGTGACTTGTAGAGTTACTTAATAGTATTTTAACATCCCTGTCATTAAAGTTAACCTGAGAGTTAGGGTGACTTGACTGGTACAAGGCCCCACAATGAGATTCCTTCCTGAATCAACATAACATCTACAGTTGATGTAGCATTATAGGAGTACAGCAGGCCTGAAAATTTGAAAGTGATATGTATCAAATCTTCTGATACAAAAAGTGCAGGGGCAGCAGCTTGCAGATGGCCATGATTCTTTCCCATATCATTACTTATGTCTGCAGATATGTGTCTCCACACTCTCCGTGTTTACTGCAGAAAAAAAGGCCTGAAGAAGACACAAGTCTGAATAGCGTTCATGGATCAGAGTGGATCAAAGATGGAAGAGAAACAAATCTAGATTAAAACATTGCAGCTGAATTGTGGAGTAAATTAATTAGAGATACTGTAGTGTTTTTGGAAATTAGGTTTGAATGAAACAAATTAACTTTTGTAAGCCATTTTGATTGGACTAAAGTACCGCTTGAGTATAAGTGATTTAAATAAATATTTTAAAAAGCCAGTGTTATGTGGCATGAGCTGGAGTTTATTACAGCTAAACCAACCTACGATTTGTATAGCAGACGGAAGGATATGTTGGGAAGACTGAAAAGGATACCAATCTGTGTTTTTTATTTGTTACAGACCATGAAGGAAAATAGGGTAGTGAATCAGTCTATGCTGTGCAGCGATTTCAGTTGGGGTTAGGTTTCTTTGCAATACACATCTGACCTTGCTGTCCACATACTGTATGTCTTTTTGTTTCACAGATTCTGTTTCTGCCCACCCTCCCCCCTTTACATTACCCATGGGAGTAATTTATAGGCCATACAGTCTCTGTGACCTAATCTATCATACTGGCATGGAATTTTCCCATGGTAATCTGTGGCACTTTATCATTATATCAGCAGACTAGAAATGAAGGACATTCTCATGCAGACGCTACTGGTTCTGAACTCTAGATATGTACGAGGCATACTTAAGAAATTATAGTTGGCCTCAGATTTTTCACTTTAAAGGGAAGATATCTAGTAAAAAATGGTCATTCAGTATTGAATATTGTTCTAGCTCTTGAAAGTTGTTCAGAGTGTGCAGAATTCTGACATGAGCCTACTAAATATGATGAACTAATATGAAAAACTTGTGAGTGTCTTGTGACTGTGCATTACATTTCCGAAGACCAAATCTATCCACGAAACAGGCTGTTTTCTGTAGTCTTCCATAGGAAAGTAAATAAGTGTTTCCCTTCTCTCATTGGAGCCTGCTGTTGTGTCAGTTTCCTTAGTATGATAAGAGTGGCTAATGTCACATCTGAATATATGAAATCAGGATTCAAATCTCTGGCCAATTGTGAAGGTCACCAAGTAGCCTTTACATAACCCCACTCCCTGGCTCAGCCTAACCTCCCATATAGGGTTGTAGTGATAATTTTTTTTAAAGGGGAGAATTGCATGGATCCATTCTATTTCCTTGGACTACAATAGTAGGTGGAGATATAAATGCAGTAAATTAATAAGTATGCCAAATGTTGTGCATTGGGTTAAATCCAGTACTGTGTCAGTGCTAGAACACCACTGTGATGGAACTTCTTGTCTCTACCTGTTGGCCTTCATCTCTGTGTCACTTGAAAACTGTCTAATTCAGAGCTGAGTTTGAGGCACATGAGAGTGGAGTGGAGTGAGGAGATCATCACTGCCTGTTTCTTTGTGAAAAGCAGAAGCCTAACACTGTACTCTGCCTCTCATAGTTATGGACAGGCCTGAAAGTAATGCGTGTTTATCCAGTCATATGGTAGAGACAGACAGTGTTTAGAGAGAATGACATTTCCATGGATTCCCACCTCAGAGAAACATTTATATGGTCCTTGGGAGGTGTGCAAAGCTCAGCCCTCTGCTTGGGAAAGATCATATTGGTCATATTGGAGATACTGTACGGGGGAATTGTAGCTTAGTGGTAGTCGTTTGCTTAAGACCATTGTTCTAAAAAATGCAGTTCAAACTGAGGGATGCCTGATAAGCAGCTTTTCATCTCTTAACGGGAGGGAATTGCAAATTTTTAGCACCAAGTCAGTAAAATATTTAAATGACATCCTATATGAAACAGTTTTGTATCATTCTTTGTGGGCAAGAGCAAGGTTTCTGTATATGGACATACTGTATATACACAATAGGTTGGATTCAGAGCTGTCCATCCACAATTGAAAGGGCTCCTGTCACTTATGGGGGAGGGGGGATAGGATCCTGTTGAATTCCCTTTTCAAAAACGAGAGAGGAACAGTGATTCTCAGTATCCCTGCCTTACCTGCTGCCGCCAAACTTCAGAGTATTTTTTAAAGGAGAACAGGGGCAGCTGAGGGATCCCTGTAGAATCATTCTTTCCTCTATAAATTGTAACAGGTTACTTATAATTCATACATATTTAGAAAAGTATATTCCTGTATTAATTGGAATAACAAAACTGTTAAGTGTATGGATCTTTTCACTGCAATTTTATTGTAGAAAAGTTAATGTATAAACTTTCCTCATATGTACAGTCGTGCCCTGCTTTACGATTGCCCTGCATTACGATGAATCAGCTTCACGACGACGTTTTTGCGATCGCTTTTGCGATCGCAAAATGATGGTCTAAATAGGGTTTTTTCGCTTTGTGATGATCGGTTCCCTGCTTCGGGAACCGATTCTTCGCAAAATGATGTTTTTTTAACAGCTGATCGGCGGTTTCAAAATTACCGCCAGATAATTAAAATGGCTCCCCGCTGTGTTTAGAGACGGATTCCTCGCTATACAGGCACCGGAAATGGCCGCCGTATGGAGGATCTTCGCTGGACAGTGAGTTTTTAGCCCATTGGAACGCATTGAACGGTTTTCAGTGTGTTTCAATGGACTTTCATGATGTTTTTTTAACAGCTGATCGGCGGTTTCAAAATTACCGCCAGATAATTAAAATGGCTCCCCGCTGTGTTTAGAGACGGATTCCTCGCTATACAGGCACCGGAAATGGCCGCCGTATGGAGGATCTTCGCTGGACAGTGAGTTTTTAGCCCATTGGAACGCATTGAACGGTTTTCAGTGTGTTTTAATGAACTTTCAATTTTTACTTTACGACATTTTCACTTAACAGCGATTTTCCTGGAACGGATTATCGCCATTAAGTGAGGCAGCACTGTACAGTTAAAACTGAGGTTGTATCCCACATGTACAGTATATTTACTAGAATGGGTATCTTTAAAAAAATGGTTCTGTTCTGCTTTTTTTTTTCTCTATAACTACAGATCTAGGTGTTGGATTTTCACACATGACAGTAGATATGAAGATTTTACGTGTACAGTACAGGATAATGGGATATTCAGCTAAATACTAGTGGAAGGCACAGCTGTGCTGCCATAGTAAGGCAGGACTGTCTGCTCACCATGGTGCAAATTGGGATTGCCACTGAGGAAATTGTGACATTTGCTAGTACTACAAAGGTCTGGATGCTTTGGAATGCAAGCAGAGAAACTATTAAACTGCTCACGTTACGGATGACTGTGTGAGCATTTTGATGAAATAGATTACTGGTTAATACCTGTAGTTTCATATGTGAGTGTTCTTTTCTGGAAAATTTTGAATCACAAAATTTTCTGAAAATGACATGTAATTCCCTCAAATTGTTTAAATGTAAAATTAAAATGCACTGTAAATAGTTGACACATGCATTTTAGCAAATAATCATGCATATTACATGGTGACTGTTTACTCATCTACTTAGTGGTTTAACTTTCTTTCCACTAAAGTAGTTAGTTGTTAGCTCTTTAAAGATTCAGATGTTTTGCACAGTGATACTTCCTTTATATGCTGGATTCTTGTTAGATCTCTTTGTTAAAATAGGGAGCTGTCAGTTTTCAAAGTAAATACATTTAGCTGTAGCTGGCATAGATACATCTGGTTCTTTATCTAGGATTTCGTAGAATAATAGTATATCATGTAATGAGAACCTTATTTGTAAAATAAAATTCTTTTCAATAGTTATCCTCACTGGAATATTAAAATGCGGTAAAATCCATGGCTCACTTTGGACATTCTTTCAAATTTTGGAGGACTGAAATATGCTGTGTGCTTGTGTTTGTTATGTCATATGCCATCAAGTTGCTCTGAACAGATGATAACCCTAACAGAGTTCTGAAGGTGAGAGAGATGTTCAGGGAATGGTTTGCCATTGCCACCCCCATGAGGTTCCACGACTAAATGGGAATTTGAGCATAAGTCTCCTGAGAGTTAGTCTGACGCTAGTATACTAGGTCTTGCTTGTATGCTTCCACTTTTACTGTGTGTCCCTCCCTTACTTCTGTTCTAGTATTAGCTGTGATATGTGAATCAAGCAAACTTATCTCTAAAGCAGTGTCTAAATTATGATGTGTAAACATGGTTTGAAAGGATTTGCAAAACATTTATTGGAAGGGGGCACCAACCATTGTTACCTGACCTGAGGCGTTATGGCCAAGTATTGTTTAAAGCAGCGGTCCCCAACCTTTTAAGCCCCGCGGACTGGCCGGGGGAGGCGGGGCACTCCCCTGCACTCGTGTGCATGCGTGAAGGCGTGTGTGTATGTGCTTGTGCGCATGCGCAAAGGGTGGCGCAGTGCTCATGTGGGCATGTGTGCTCTTGCGCAAAGGGCAGCGCAGCGCTCGTGCGGGTGCTTGTGCGGTTGCACACAGGCGCAAACAGGCTGTGAGGGGGGTGAGTGTGTGCGGGGATGGGGTGGGAGCTCTCTCTCCGCGGCCCAGTCCGGCTCAGGCCATGGACCGGCACAGGGCTGCGGACTGGGGGTTGGGGGGCCTCTGGTTTAAAGAGTTTAGAAGAGAACTGGCATGTGAAGACAAAACAGAGGAGGCTTTAATGCACTTATTCTTCTGTGATCTGCCTTTCCCCAGCATGATGCCATCCAGATGATTTGGCTTCATACCCCTCCCATCCCAGCAACACTAGCCATTATTTGGAAGTGATGAGAGTGTAATCTGTTTCATCAGGAATGTGCTATACTGGAAAAGCTCTTCTAGTTATGTTTTTTAGTTTGTTTTCTGGCTTGCCCATTCTGGGACAGAGAAGATGATTTTATGCAATGTGTGTAACCTACTTGAAGTCTTTGGGTTTGTGTGTGTTTCTCTTTTCCTCCTCTTGTGTGGCATCCACCCAGGTCATGAATATTAATGTGCTACCTGCATGTACCAATGAGAGTGCTAGAGAGGCGGAGTCACGAGATGTAAGGGTCTCAGCATGAGGAGGAGACTGGAGGATGGTGGATGTGGATTTGTGAGGGAGACAGATTGCTAAGCAAGGGCTGATGTGTAGTGAACCGATGAAGACCATTAAGTTCACAGCAAACGATGTTGGCTTAACCTTTATTCTTTGTTACAATAAACTTATTTCTGCTTTATATAAAATGACACATTGTCTGGACCTCTGTTATTAACATTGAAAGTTGTGAACCACTGGTGGCAGGTGAACAGCTTGTGGCGCGAGCCTTTGTTTGGTGAAACAAGCAAGGGACGCATGGGGAACGCAATCTCTTGCTTCAGTTTTTACTCGATAAAGCTATGGCTGTCCCAACCAGGATTTATAGTTAACATTACTTAATGGTTAATTAAAAGCTAACTTTGAAAATGACATTTTCATAATTGTTTGATATTAAGTAATTTGAAAGTATAGTTCAAGAAAACTCTTTTTTTCCTTGCAGTGCAGGGAGAGTAGAGGAAAGGAGGTATGTGCAAGCCCAGTGTTCTTTATGGCATGTTACAATCAAAACCATGAGTTGCCGTAAGGATGGCATAGCATCAGTTGAAAGTAAATCACAATATGAGAAAGGCTAAATTAGCTATAACATACAGTTCATCTGGTTCAAGTTGCCTGAATACTCTCCCGGATTTGAAAATGTTCAAGTAGCATATAACAAAATAAAATGGGCAGTGCACAAATATGCAGTACAATATACTCGTTGAGTAAATACAGCACAATAATTAACATCCTGTATTTACATGATCAGTGAACAGGTAATTTATAAGGAAAGACTTGCATGATTAGGACATGTGCCTAAAATTAAAAGTTGCAGGAATGTGTCGTATCTCTGAGAGATGTATGTTCCAGGCACCACAATGGTTCCTAAGAATTATTTATGTTTCAGGTATTATTTACAAGAGCAAGGCATTCTGATACATTGATCTTTACTGTGGATAATGTATGCAGCAGGAAAGAGCTTTCCGTAAAAATCAAATATTACTTAAGTAGTGGGGTTTGTTCCAGAAGTTTCCAACATGTTGTTGCTACTATTCTGTATCAGACTGGGCTTGAATTTTGCAAATTCTTATAAATATTCAACAGGATGAAGTTGAGGGACCATTGGTCAGAAAAAACGCCTTGGATGGATGGATGCAAATAATCTAAAGTGTGATATGTATTGTTTGTGAAGTTTGTGGATTATAACTGCTGATTACAAATGCAGTATAACCATCACCATATGAGAATAATTAAAATGCATGCAAGCGAGTGCCTAGCACTTCATAGAACTTACAATTATCAAATTACTGTACTTTTCCCAACTAATGCAAGCTTTATAACTTTCAGGTAATATACCCTCAGCATGCAAAGCTTACAGATAAAGAGGTGAGTACAAGTTTCAAGAGACTTTTATAAAGTACCTTTCCCTTTCAAAATATAACTTTTATTTTTCTTCCCTAGAAAACCAATATTTGCTATTTGTCTTTCCCAGATTCCAATTCAGGTAATTATTTATTAGATATGCATGTTGTGTATTGATGTAAAATGAAATACTGCTGCTTAAGTTGTGTGCCATTAGTATTTTTATTCCGGTTAATGTTATGTATTAATAAGTGGAATAGGAGGCGTATGATAAAAAATATGCTATATATATACCTGTTTGTCCCACCTGAGGCATGTAGAGAATTGAGAATAACAATGTGCCGTATGTACAAACAACAGTTGAGGGAGAATTAGGTCGTTGAATTGCTGGAAATGATTATTCCTCTGCTTAGATTTAGAAGTGCTGCACCTGGTATATATTAAAAGAAATTTCTTTAAATATTGGGAACATGGAATTATAAATGGTGACAGAAATTATGTACATGGTGTGTATCTTCTGATGTTTTGTTTCCTAGAACATGTAAAGTTTACTGGAGTCATGTTTTCTCAAAGAAATTCAAAGCCCTTTTCCTAAATTTTTAGTTTATTTTAAAGAAATAGACTTTTAGCCTTTTAATTTATCGAAGTATGCATAAAAGTCATATTGCTGCTTCTGTTACGAAGGGATGGCCAAGTTTCTATGATGTGTGCATCTACAGTATTCTCAACTTAATTAACATTCTGCAACCAAAAGAGAAAACAGGTAGTGCATTGAATTATAGTTTTGCTACAGATAGTGACCAAAATCTTGTTGCTGAGCATAGTACTGTAAATCATACAAAGGTAGATCCTACAGTGGGGATTTAGTGATTCTGGTCCTCTATAAACTTGGTTGATTCAGTGGGCCCATATTAGTGCTGTTTACTACACTAACAGGATTTTGGCCAGTAAATGAGAAGTAAGTTGAGCCTGAATGATGAGAAGGTTGATAGTATTGCATTTCACACCAAAAAACAGCATCTACCATCACAGTGCTTACACTTGCAGCCAAATAAGGTTGGTTTCTTCCTTTTCCCTTCCTTTTAAAGATAAGATTGTATCTGTACCTTTTTTTCGTCTCCCTCCCATTAAGGTTCTCTTGGTTCTAGAATGCTCCAAACAACCTTTCAAGAGGGTTGGGGGAAGCCACTGAACTTTTTCATCGTGCTGTAGGCTTGCTGGAATTTGGAACATTGTGCAACCACTGCAAGATTTCTCTGTCTAACTTTCAGCTGTTCCTTTCCACTGTATAAGTCCTATAAGACACAACCTACAGTGTTCAGTAGCTGTCTCCACAGTACCCCAAATAAACTTTTCAGAGGACATGCAAACGTTGAAGAAATGAGGAAGGGAAGAGCTTGTTCTGCTGGCTGTATGCAACAATGGTTGTTGCTAATGAATGTTATGAAACAATACACTTACTGAAATTTTAAAAATTTGAAAAGAAACAAAACAATGGGAATTTTTTCAGCTCACATTGTTGTTTCAGTGTGCTTAACACTGGTTGGATTGTGCCCAACATGTTAAGTTTTGTATGTAGGGGGTGAACTACTTTCCCAGTATAAATTTATCAATGGAGATTTATGCCAGGCTATCCAATATGTTTTCATCCCATGGCTTTTCATAAAGTAATCAAATAACTTAATTGCTGCATTTGACTACAAAACATCAAGGTGTATTGAAAACATTTTAGACTAGAAGAAAAAAGTGGGATCTGTCACCTTCTGTTCAGATAAAGCCGGGACTGGTACATACTCTGTATGTGCATTGGTTCACACATAACAAGAAGGCAGGATTGATGCTGGTTGCCTCATTGTTTCCTGCTGGATGCTCTTGCCATCGGGAGTGACTAAATAAACTAGGAAGCTCCCTTTTGTGCTTTGTTTAGTGTCGTATCTGAATCAGGATCTCCAGTGTTGTTGTCCTAACAAGCCATAAGCCAAGAACAAATATTTCTTCACTTGCTTGTTTTCAATAAGAATTCTCCAGAATCCTCTCTTACTGTTACATACAAACCAGCAAATTCTTTTTCTGCCCAGAGAGAAAAGTAATATTGGTAATATATGCTATGGTATGTTGCAGCCCATGCCCAGTATGAAATCATGCGGTTGTGCTCAGGCTGCCCCAGCAGAAAATAGCAAGCCTACAGCATCCTTTCAGAGCCCTTGGTTTTCCTCCAAGGGCTGTGATTACTCTACATGTATCATCCCCAAATGATGGTACAATGCTTGATCTCTTCAGTTGGGATTAGTTTAGTTTTTAAAATCCTCAGTATGTCCTGGCAAGTGCCTGCTGAGAACACAGAGGTTATAATATTTTCATCAGACATATTTTGAGTTCAACATAATATATGTTTTTTTCCCCTCCTCTTTCCTTTTTTGGCCTAGGATGCCTTGGAGACACACAGTTTTGTTTTAGGTTCCGGCAATCTTCTAGCAGAAAGCTTTCGTGGCACTGTCTCCTGGACCAGTTTGACAGAGATCTACCCATTTGCTTGAAGGTTGGAAAAGTAATTTGTGGTCGTTTCGACCAGATAGGCGGGGTATAAATAGAATAAATAAATAATAAATAATTTGTTCTCTTTTGGCCAAAGGTGGCAGTGTTTTTTTTTCCTCTTTCTGATATATTTGGATCTCTTGTCTTCAGGGAACATTGTCTGCCAGTCAGCCTTTGGTTATTGCAAAGAATTCGAGAAAGACACTAGGGTTAACATTAGTTTGCGTCTCAGTTGGACATAGAACATTACTGAAATTTACCAATGGCAGCAAAATATGGAAGCTTATATGAAAATTTTGCAGCTGTTGCTGTTGACTATTGGTAAATAGCCCAGTAAGAAACTCGGTATTAAAATCTTAGTGGTTTGAATACTGAATGTAATAATTTGGAAGATTTTTTAAAATTTTAAATACATATAAAACATCAAGCTAGATGGGGAGAAAAACATCAATTTTAGTTTGAATCAAATAATGTTATTTATTTCTTAGTAAGCTTGCTAACAAATTTAAGTAGAATGGTCTTTATTCATAGTACATCAGAATTGCTACAGTACAGAAGTCAGAATCCTATTAGGGCTTAAGGGCATGAATGTAATTGCATAAATTGTGATGGAAAATTGTTACTAATTAACAAGTTGCCACTTGCATTTCTGGTTGTGTGGCAGCCACACAATTTGGTGTGCAGTAAATATTAGCCACCATGATGTATGCAGTTATGCTTTTGGTGGCATAAATCTACAGTAGAATTCTGATAAGAGATTGTGTAAAATAAAGCATAATTAAGCAGCAGTTCTACTAAACCACACACACTTTCTTTCCGTCATTTGTTCGATGCAACATCTAGGTGTTGGGAGCTGAATTTACACTGACATAGATAATAGTAATGAAAATTATAATTATCAGGAACTGACAATTTTTTTGAGAACATGTGATAAAGGCATTCATAAGGAACAAATGTGCGATCATCTAAATTTTCAGCCTTGTCCTATAAGTATGAAGCATTATGGAATATTTTTGCTTTTCTTTACAGAGGGATCCTGCATATTATTATGGTTATGTGTATTTCAGACAAGTGCAAGACAAAGCATTAAAAAGAGGTTACTTCCAAAAGGTAATTTTCATTTTAGGAAGAGTAATTATAGTGGCTTAGAACAATATTCAGAAGTAATAGTAATACTTGCAGTACAGCATGGCTGAAATTGTGTTAATACATAAGTAAAAACAAGTAAAAAAATCAGTTTAAATGCAGATTGTGTTATTAGTTGGCAGTTTTACTGTTGGTACATTTTTAAAGCCACCAACATACAAAGTTCCAGGCAAAAGTTAGCAAAAAAAAAAAGGATCTGGAACACTGCAGGAGGAAAAAGCATATGGAAGGGAGTTCAACTAGCTTTCAGAGACACTTTTCATTGCAACCTTGTATGAATTTCACCTTGTGCCCTGCTGAATGATTATAGAAATATTGCGCCATCCAGTTTTTGAATTTTTATGAGTTGACTCTATCTTTGTCATTTTCACTGTTTTTGTCTTGGTTTGTCTGATTTTATCAATTGTTCACAGCCCAGAATAGTGCATTACACTAATGGGGAGGTGTATAAATCAATTCAATTCAATCAAGCAATCAATAATTAAACATGGATTTATTTATTTGTTTCTCCTGTCCAAGTCTTTAGTTCTCATCAGCAAGCTGCCTTATATCCACTTTTTTCATACTGTGCTTGGACAAATTGCACCTGAATATTTTGAGAAGAATGATCCTTATTTGGAAGCAGGTTCGTAATAACTGACTGTGTATTTTTCAAAGGTTCATATTGTTAAATGTATAGTACATTTGTACTAACCTAGAATTTCTGGTAAAAGAAGAATGCCATGAATCTGTGGTTTCCAAATCAGAACATCAGTAAAGATTTGTAGGTCTTTAGGGTACTTGTATGTAGGCTGGCAGGGAGTAATTGGGTAGAGGGAGTGGCCTAGAGGGAGTGGCCTAGTTGGTTTGATACCATCAGATGGATAAGATTAAACATGGTAACAGTTTATTGTGTGACAGTGATACTGGTAAATAGATCTTTCTTCTCTACTCCCGTTGGATCCACTCGTATGTAGGCTGGCAGGGAGTAATTGGGTAGCAAATAGAGGGAGTGGCCTAGTTGGTTTGATATCATCAGATGGATAAGATTAAACATGGTGACAGTTTATTGTGTGACAGTGATGCTGGTAAAGAGATCTTTCTTCTCTACTCCTGTTGGATCCACTCATCATCCTCCAGAGCTCTCTTGCATGGTTAAAGCCTCTTGTTTATAAGCCCTGGAATGCAGCAGCTTGAATCCTGTTAGTTATCTGCTGTGGATGATCTGTTTGGAGATTATGCAGATTAAGCAGTTTTTTGTATCTGTGACGACATAGATGCTGCTTTTGACAGAGTCTGGCCGTGCTGTTACCTTTCACTTTGTAGACTTAAAGGACATGGACAAAGTGCTTACTTGTAGTCCTGGCTTGTGGACATTAATAAGAGTTTGCCATCCTTGGGCAAGATGTTGGATTATGTGGTAGTGGTAAAGAGATCTTTCTTCTCTACTCCTGTTGGATCCACTCATCATCCTCCAGAGCTCTCTTGCATGGTTAAAGCCTCTTGTTTATAAGCCCTGGAATGCAGCAGCTTGAATCCTGTTAGTTATCTGCTGTGGATGATCTGTTTGGAGATTATGCAGATTAAGCAGTTTTTTGTATCTGTGACGACATAGATGCTGCTTTTGACAGAGTCTGGCCGTGCTGTTACCTTTCACTTTGTAGACTTAAAGGACATGGACAAAGTACTTACTTGTGGTCCTGGCTTGTGGACATTATTAAGAGTTTGCCATCCTTGGGTAAGATGTGGATTGTGTGGTAACCCCTTTCTTCCAGGAAATGTTGGATGCTGCTAATTTCAGACCAAGTTATGAGTCTTTGTTAACATGATTGATGATGTATGTGAAGGAACACGTCATCAATCATGTTAACAATCGTGTGTTGGTTTTTCTGTACTTCTCAGTAGCTTTTGATACCACTCCTCATGGTATGCTCTTGGATCACTTATCTGGGTTGGATTTAAATGGCATGGTCTTACAGCGAGTGGTTCTTGTCCCTATCTGGAGTGGATTGATATTGTGCTAGGAACATGCAGTTTGGACTATTGCACAGTGTTTTATGTGTTAGTGGGGAAAAATGATTGGGCCATATGATACCCGTTCCACATTTGTTCCTGGTTTCAGAGTTCATTTTAAGGTGCTGGCTTAAAAAAATTTAATGTATACCTTACCTTTGTTGGTTTTATATCTCTAGAAAGAAAAGGCACTTTACAATAAATTACAAATACAATACAGTGGTGCCTCGCATAGCGAGGTTAATCCGTTCCGGATTAACCTTCGCTATAGCGAAACATCGCTGAACGGGACAGGGAAAGCCATTGGAACGCATTAAACATCGTTTAATGCGTTCCAAAAGGCTCCTTTACTCACCGTTCAGCGAAGTTTCCTATGGTCGGCAGCCATTTTCGCGCCCTCGTTAAGCGAGGGGAGGGCGCGAAAACGCTGCGCGCGGCCATTTTGGGGCTTCCGGCGGCCATTTTGTCCACCGAACAGCTGATCGTCGGGGCTTCGTTTTGCGAAGATCGGTAAGTGAAACGCTTACCGATCTTCGCAAAGTGAGTTTCGCCCTATCTAAAAGTCGTTGAGCGATCGCATTAGCGATCCCAAAAAAGGGATCGCTATGCGATTTCGCCGTTGTATGGTGCGCTCGTTAAGCGAGGCACCACTGTATAGAACAAGTATAATTAAAAACACATCAGTAAAAAGGAACAACATCTCTGTAGGAAAATTTAAGTGCCAGAGTCCTGCTTGAATTAAACTCTCTTTGTGCCTAGGATTTTACTACAGTCTGGGCTTGAAATGTTTATTGTTGGTTTATATTAATATTATTTTTGTTGTTTTATTAATAGTATATTATTGTGTATGTTTCTATTGCATCAGTTGCCTTGTAAATGGATGTTTTATTTTTTTGGGCGGCTCAGATGTTTACAAACAAAAACAGATTGAATTTTGTTGGTAGAGCTCTTTAACCCTCCTCCATTCTGCTGGGTCATCTTGGCCCACCAAAGTCATGCTTTTTCCATAATTGTATTCAGAACTAGACAGCAAGTATATTATTGTGTATGTTTCTATTGCATCAGTTGCCTTGTAAATGGATGTTTTATTTTTTTGGGCGGCTCAGATGTTTACAAACAAAAACAGATTGAATTTTGTTGGTAGAGCTCTTTAACCCTCCTCCATTCTGCTGGGTCATCTTGGCCCACCAAAGTCATGCTTTTTCCATAATTGTATTCAGAACTAGACAGCATAGATGCTTAAAACAGATTGAATTTTGTTGGTAGAGCTCCTCCATTCCATAATTGTATTCAGAACTAGACAGTGTAGATGCTTCACAACATTGTCACCTGAAGAGTTGAAAATAAGGTCCTTGGGTTTCAAGCATCATATACTTTTTAAAAAATAAAATAAAAACAGACAAGTAAGAGCTGAGAGCTGCACTTGCACAGGGGGCATGTTGCGCCCCCCCATGAGCGTGGGGGGTATCCCTGCCCCCCTGTGCACAGAGTGCACCCCCCAAACCAGTCCACGGTCTCAAAAATGCCCTCACATAGAGAGCATTACCGTAGTCTATTCTTTCCATAATTGTATTCAGAACTAGACAGTGTAGATGCTTCACAACATTGTCACCTGAAGAGTTGAAAATAAGGTCCTTGGGTTTCAAGCATCATATACTTTTTAAAAAATAAAATAAAAACAGACAAGTAAGAGCTGAGAGCTGCACTTGCACAGGGGGCATGTTGCGCCCCCCATGAGCGTGGGGGTACCCCTGCCCCCCTGTGCAGAGAGTGCACCCCCAAAACCAGTCCATGGTCCCAAAAATAGCCTCACATAGAGAGCATTACAGTAGTCTATTCTTTAGATTACAAGCGCATGGACCAACGTGGTGAGCGCCCCCACATCTAGATAGGGACGCAGCTGGGAGATCCGCCAAAGATGTAAATGGGCAGATCAAACCACGGATGCTACCTGGATCTCCATGGTAAGCACCAGTTCAAGATGGACCCCCAAACTGTGAACCACATTTTTTGTGGTGAGAGTCGTTCCCCACTGAAGAGAGGGAGTTCCCCAAACCACTGACATTGGGAACACCCACCCGCAAGACCTCTGTCTTATCAGGGTTCAACCTCATACCATTCAACTTCATCCATTGTAGGACAGTCTCCAGGCAGCGTTCAAGGGATGGAACAGCATCCACTGTAGATGGAATAAAGGAGGTGTAGAGCTGGGTGTCATCAGCATATTTGTGACATGAAGCTCCACATCCCTGGATGACACACACACGCACAGACACACAGACACAAACAGACACAGAGAGCCTCATATATATGTTAAACAGCATTAGGGAGATGATCGAACCCTGCAGTACCCTGCAATTGAGGGACCATAGGGCTGATACATTCTCCCCAAGCTGAACTCTCTGGAGCCAACTCTCCAAGAAGGACCAGAGCCAAGCGAGAGCAAGGACACCAGTCCCCAACTCGGAGAGCCTTTCCAGGAGGATACCGTGGTCAACGGTATCAAAGGCAGCCGCGATATCAAGGAGAACCAACAAGGATGTTCCCCCCCCTGTCAGCTTCCCTAAGTAGGTCATCCAGCAGGGCAACCAATGCCATCTCCGTGCCATGGCAGAGCCTGAAGCTGATTGGCCGCCACCCTCTCAACTAACTTGCTGAGGAAAGAAACATTGGTGCCACCCTCTCAACTAACTTGCTGAGGAAAAAAACATTGGTGAACGGGCCTATAATTGCCAGTGTTGTCCTCTGCCAAGCTGGAGTTGCATTTTGGTTCCAGCCAAAACTATCTACAAAATGTCCTGTGCAATTTTGGGGTGGACCATCATGCCAAGAAGCCAAAGTGATGCACTCTGGTTGTCATTAGTTTGGTTCCATTTGAAGGTTGGGTGGGAGATACTGGCATTTGCAGTGAGTTTAGGAAATACATAAGACATGTAAATGTAGCATTATAGTTTGTTTGACTGTGGTATTTTATGTTCAAAACTGGTTAATACTGATAACTGTTTTTCAGCTTGCAGTGATATTGATCGATGGCCACCACCAATCCCAGGGAAAACACTACTTTTGCCCATTATGGGCATTGTAATTAAGGTAAAATTAAAACTCCTGGTTTTGTTGTTTGAGTTCAGACAATTGTTCCTTGATTTTATTGTTTATCTTGTGTGTAACAGTGTCAAGGACCTCTTATTCAGAACCATAGTCCTATACATATACCTCAGCCAGAATCTTGTTAATCTTCACTTAAGGTTTAAGTACCTTATTGCAGCTAATTTTTGGCTGATTGATCAAATGCCAAGACATGGCTCAGTTGTGCACCCCACCACCTCATCAGTTAGTTGGAATTAGCTGTAGCAAGTAATGTAAGCCTACTTCAACTGTTCATAGGATTCTGGTCATTGATTTCATACTTATAAGAGAAGGAAGAAACTAATATTTCCAAAGAGAGAGTGAGTGAGTGAATGTTTGTGTGTATAAAATTTGCAGTGCTAAGATGGTCAACAACTTGATGTTTTTCTGTTTGACTCTTCAATTAAATGTAGCATTGTTTCCCCTTCTTCCTCAAATGGAGCCAACCACTGTAGGGTGAGCTAAATTTTAGCACATTTAAAATTCAGTTCATTCAAGTGCAGATTATTTAAATGCATACTTTATACTGTCTGACAGTGAAGTTTGGCTGGATCACGTTGTACACTGTCACAATGTTGTTAAATAGGTTTCTGGGAGTTGCAGTTCAAAAACATCCGAGTAACAAAGGTTAAGAACCACTGCTTTATATTGTCTGACAGTGAAGTTTGGCTGGATCATGTTGTACACTGTCATTTGTATTCATACTAACAGCATGGTCCAGTATTGGAATTGCTGATTTGGGCTAAGCTCTGCAGGTCTTTTTCCATAAGGGGATGAAGCAGCTGTGTTTTTCCTTTACTTTCCCCCAAAAGTTTGTTTCACAGAAGATAAAAGCTGTCTCTCATTTTAAAGAGTTGAATGGAAAAAAAGTTACACCAACTCCAAGTTCTTCTTTGCGGGCTGACCTGGGCTGATTAATAACACAGATAAGTTTTGTGCCTGCACAGAACTCATTGCAGGATCTTCTAGAGCTGAACAGCTTTGGGAAGGCACCCTGTCTCTCCCCTCTCCTATGTGCAAAAGTGTGCCTTAGCACCTGTTGTAGTCAGTTGCTTTTCATCCACCATACAAGCAGCTTTGAAGGAAGGCTTCTCTGAAGATTTCTGGGTGTTTGCTGAACAATGTGGTTTCTTTGATTTTTTCCATATTTTTCCTCTGGTTCTCAGCTTCTTTCTTGTTATCCTAAAAAAAGTCCCTCCATGCTATTCTCATTGTTTTTGGTCTATATGACTCTTTTCAAAAAGAATGTCATCTGTGGGGAGAATATCCCCTTCTTAGACAGGCACACTTTCTTGAGTGAGGGATGTTCCTCTCTTCAGCACCAAGCCGACATTCTGACACTCAGACATGAAATGACTGTTCATCACATTCTGGTGTTTGATATTATATCTTGGTACCATCATGATTGCTTGTGTCTCTTGTTATGTACCAACTCATACAACTGGTAGGCACGGAGGGATACAAGGAACAATGTACTGTATTAACGAATGGCAATTCACTGCTGCAGTTTGTGCTGCTGCACTTTATATTGGCCCAGCCAACTAGTATGATTCTGGCCAATGTTTAATTCTATCTAGGCTACTAATCTGAAGTATTATGTCTCTTCCATAAGGTGCGAATTCCTACATGCCATGACAAGCCTGGAACAACTCAAGTGTTACAGTCCACACACCAGGTAATTCAGCAGCCATGTACAGTGGTGCCTCGCTTAACGAAGTGTTACAGTCCACACACCAGGTAATTCACCAGCCATGTACTACTTCCTTGAAACAAGAGACTGGCATTAATGTTTCATTTCTAGACATGTCAGTCTATACTTGCAAGGGAGTGTGCATTCTGTGGAGTCATAGTAAAGCAGCATGTACGAAAAAATAGCAGGCCAATCTGAAAGTGGAAACTTTGGCAAATGCTTTTGCAAAAGTATCTTACAGTAAGCACTATTTCATGTTGCCTTCTTTACCAAAACAAAATCCCTGTTGAGCTATACTGTAAAAGGTGCGGCTCCCCCTAGGTGATTTTGCAAAAGTAACTTACAGTAAGCATTATTTCATGTTGCCTTCTTTACCAAAACAAAATCCCTGTTGAGCTATACTGTAAAAGGTGCGGAGGAGCATGTTAGCCCTGCCCCTTCCATCTTCTCTTAAAAACTCACCCCTTTCCACATCTTTCTTTTTGCCTGCTTTTTCCCACTCTCTTCTTGCTGCTTTTCTTCTTCCCTGTCTCATTGCTGTACAAGACATCCTATCTTAGTAACATTTAACTTACCAAACCATTTTTACATGCATTCCACTAGTTTTGGATGCCAGTTATTTACCAGTAGGACAGGAATGGTGAAATTCTGTAGCTTGTTCCTTTCGTATTCCCAGATAGTTTTCTGTATTGCTTTGTCAAATCAAGTATAATTGGGTTCGTTGTGTACCATCAAATAAGACGTACTGTAACTTACAACGTCCGTAAAGGGTTTTCAATGTAATTGAGATATTTAAGGAGTTTTTTGCCAATTCCAACCTCCAGTGAGTTTGTATGGCAGAGCCAGGGAATCAAGCACAGGTCTCTTGAGTCCTAAGCTATTATTCTATCCACTGTACTACACTTGGTAATTAGATTTTCCCTCCCCCAAGCGTGCACTGTGTGGGGATTCAGACATTTCTCTGGAATTAGAAATGTAGACGATGTAGGAAGATACAGTTATGATAGCTATAAAGGCAGCCAGGCATTTTTGTAAACAAATATTACTCTCTGTGGAGAACCAAGTGATTGGCAACCTACATTGTTCTTTCATAGGTTCAGCATAAGAGGTCATAGTTGTTAAATTTGCCTGGTGCACACTGTTTTGGGGTAAATTAGTTCTAGTTTAATTTTAATTGTATTTTAATTGTATTTTAATTGTATTTTAATCATTTTATTGTATTGAATTTTAATTATTGTAAGCCGCCCAGAGACCTCTGGGTAGAGTGGGCGGCATATAAATTAAATAAATAAATAAATAAATAAGATACAGTTCTGATAGCTATAAAGGCAGCCAGGCATTTTTGTAAACAAATATTATTCTCTGTGGAGAACCAAGTGATTGGCAACCTACATTGTTCTTTCATAGGTTCAGCATAAGAGGTCATAGTTGTTAAATTTGCCTGGTGCACACTGTTTTGGGGTAAATTAGTTCTAGTTTTATTTTTGGTAGAAACCAGTTTTTACCAGCTGGAGCCCGATATAGGAGTTAGAATTTAAAAATTTAGAGCAAAGTCATTTGTTTTAAACACAAGCACTGAACAGGGCTTACAGTACCTTCCGTACAAAATTTACCTTCTGCTTGCTTCTAGTTCACTCAGCTTTTTACTTTGTTGTCTGCCAGTGTTCCAATCAAAAGCTGTTGTTTTTTCAGGTGGATACACAGGTTTCCATTGCTTTACCTACAGTCCATGAAGTAGATCTCTTCAGGTAAAAATTTTAAACCATCTTTCCAAAATTCTGAAGCTGACACAGCCCATCCGAGCTGGTTTCAGGAGGGTTTTAATTGCTGAGCTTGCAAAGATGTATTAAATATAAGAGACATATTTGCTGGCAGTCTCTAATCAAACATGTTGATGGGGTGTGTGTTTATAGCCATTATTGTAAATTATGCATTCTCTGTAAGTTATGGATGGCAGTAATGTCAAGATATTGTTTTAAGGAAAAAAGGAGTGGAGTGGTCATTCCTTCTGAGTAAGCAGAGAAAGTACAGTAGATGCCCATAGATAGTAAAAGAGACCTTTCAACACGTAATTGTAAAATAAACACCTGTTGCAGGCTACCATTGTTGCCTTAATATGAGATGTTTTGATGTATCTCAGGGAGATTCAGGGTAAAATTAGCAAGCTGAAAGTTAGGGTTTGGAAATTGCATTGTACTTGTGCTCTCCTCATGTCTGTGGTCCACACTCTTTGAGTCATATGCAAAGAGCTTTTTACTTCGTTTATAAACTCTTCATGTTGCTGCCAGTGATTCGAATATTTCTGTTTGTAGCTATGGCCTCACCAAAGCAGGAATGCTGGTGTTTGGCTGGCCTTTGACTCTTAATTCTGCACACAGTTCTGTCTCCATAGTGCTTCCATTCCTGCCTTTTTCACCCTTCAAGAAAGGCATGGTAATCTTGCAAATGTTAGACCTACAAGATGGCGTGACTCAAGGTCACATTTTCAGTTGCACATTTTCTTCTCTCCATGTTTGCTCTTCTTTTCTTTACACAGAGAGCAGGAGCAGAGGGGGGCTGAAAATTAAAAGTATTGGTTTTGTCAATCTGTTTCAGATGTTTCTTGCCAGTGTTCTTTCACATCCAGATGCTGTGGGAGCTTGTATTGTTAGGGGAACCGCTTGTTGTCATGGCACCATCTCCATCCGAGTCTTCAGAAACTGTGTTGGCACTTGTAAGGTAAGCATATGGAGGAATTTTAAAAGCTACATGACTCTGATCTCACTATGAATCACAGAATGAGAAGGCTGTAGCAGAATCTTTAATTTTGAGGCTCTTTTTTTAAAAAAAGCTATCCCACAGAATTGAAGGAAGACTTAAACATGTAGGTGGCTTCGTCCTTGTGTTATTGGGAGGAGGAGAGCTGCTGATGGACAGAGGAAACATCTTCCTCGGCTTCCTTGCCCAAATCACTTCACTACTTGCCACCTGTCCCAGAATGGTACTTGCTTCCTCCAAAGGTTTTCCTTCACTGGAAAATAAAAGAATGATGTAGACATTCAGGAAGCCGTAATGTTACCTTCTTTATACTGAGCGAAGTAATCCTTTATTTTGAATGGTTAAACATAGGCTTTTTAGCACATGTGCATTTTCCTTTACAGATAATACAGTCAAATGTTATGTAATGGAAGTAGCTGGACTCTCTTTCACCACCAGTATCTGGTAGCCTTAATAAGCTATACTTACTATAGCCATTTTAAATGAAGCTTTTTCAATAATAATATAGCTATCCATGGATGAAGATGATTTAGGATATCTTTTAACTAATTAATTAATTACATTTACATATTACCACATACCTTGATATGGGGTTAGTTCATGTAGTGATAAGTATTTGTCTTCAGTACTTAATAACTGAAGCGAAATATTTATAATTATGTCGCTGAAGTCCAATAGTGAGCTACAGCTGGTGAATCAGTGGGGATTTGGTGAGTCAAACCCTCTGTAAGTTCCATTGACTTAAATAGGCCAACTCTAGTAGTGGCTTACTACTGGATTGCAGCCAATAACTGAAAGCTAGCAGCTGTGTGGAAGAGGAAAAGTTACTATGAGCATTTTTAATTACCTAATTACAATCATGTGTCAAAATAATCTGAAAAAAGATAGTTTGTAAGTTTAACTTTCAGTTCTGCTAATTAAAATTGCCCCACACTGGTTAATCATCTAAGTCAGATAGTTTATGTTAAAGTATTTATATCTCAGTCCTTCAAGAACAGTGTTCAAAAATAGTACTAAAACAACAAGTGAGGCCAGCAACAGAACACTGCAGTGTGAATTGTTCTTGTTCAGGGCTTTCAGCTAGCTAGTCATCTTCCTTTTCGAGGAAAATCCATTCTGATTAAACATAGGGGTACAGTGGTGCCTCGCAAGACGATGTTAATTCGTTCCGCGAAAATCGCTGACAAGCGAAAACATCGTCTTGCGAAACACGTTTTCCCATTGAAATGCATTGAAAACCATAATCTGTTTCAATGGGAACGGATTGTCATCCTAACTCAAGTCAAGACCCCACTGTACTAAAACAACAAGTGAGGCCAGCGACAGAACACTGCAGTGTGGATTGTTTTTGTTCAGGGCTTTCAGCTAGCTAGCCATCTTCCTTTCGAGGAAAATCCATTCTGATTAAAGATAGGGGTACAGTGGTGCCTCGCAAGACGATGTTAATTTGTTCCGCGAAAATCGCTGTTAAGCGAAAACATCGTCTTGCGAAACACGTTTTCCCATTGAAATGCATTGAAAACCTGATAATCTGTTTCAATGGGAACGGATTGTCATCGTAAAGCAAAAATTGCCATTGGAAACATTGTTAAGCGAAACGCGGTTCCCAAGCGAAGACAGCCGTCTAACGAAACAGAGACCATTAAAAGACTTGTATAGCGAAGCAAGACCAAGCTGTCAAAAACATCATAAAGTGAAAAACAGGGACCTAAAATTTAACTGTCTTGCGAGGCAAGGTCCCTAACATCGAAAATCGTCCATAGGAAACATTGTTAAATGAAGCACAAGATCGTTCCGAAAACCTCATCATAAAGCAAATTTGTCATCATGCGAAGCAATCGTCTTGCAAGGCACCACTGTATTCATATTGTCCACACAGCTGGATGGACTTAACGAGGGTCCACTCACACATCTGGCAGCACTGGCAGCCCCTCTCTTCCTCCCAATCGTGCCCAGAGTGACTCAGCAGCCTTGCAGAGG